CGTGCTCCACCTGGCAGGTGTAGGTGACCCCGCGCCGGGGGGGGATTTCCAGCATCACCAGCACCTGGTAGGTCCAGTCCCCGTTGGGGACCACGTCGGTGGCCACCACGTGCTCCGGCAGCTCCTGCCCATCCTGGAACCACCTCACCTGCACCGGGCAGGGTAGAAATCCATCACGGAGCAGAGCAGGGGCTGGGGCTGGGCTGGGAGCTCGACGGCACCAGCGAGATGGACACGCTGGGGGGCACTGGGAGAGACGGGGGAGACACTGGGTTTGCGGGGCGGGTGGCACTGGGAGAGAAGGGAGAGGGTTTATAGAGCATTGGTAGGCGTTTGGATGACACTGGAATTGACTGGGATGGCACTGGGAGGGACTGGGAATAGATTGGGGTAGAAGAGAATGGCCGGGAGGGGCGGTCACTGGAGAGTGAGTTGGGAGATCTGAGACTGAAATGAGAACGACTGGGAATGGAGTGAGAGGGTCTGGGAGTGGAGTGGGAGGGTCTGTGAAGGACTGGGAATGACTAGAAGGACTGGGATGGACGGGGAAGGAACCGAGCGGAACTGGGAGGAGTCCTGGAGAGGGAACTCTGAGCTGCGAATCTGCCCGGCAACTGATGATTCATCAAAAACCGCGCTCTGATTGGCTAAAGCGTGGGAGATGGGTGGCACCAGGGGGGGTTATGCGGCGGGGCACTGGGAGAGACTGGGATGGATCAGAATGGATTGGGGGCACTGGAAGAGATTGGGATGGAGTGGGGGGCACTGGGAGAGACTGGGGTGGACTTTGAGGAACTGGGAGGGGGCAAAAGTCCACGGGGATGGGCACAGGGAGGGCTGAGGGGTCAGCGGTGATTCCTAGGGAGGGTTTCAGGGGCTCCAGGGTCGTTTCTGGGACAGGGGAATTCCCGAGGGGACCCGCTCTGCCCCGCGCTCACCTCTGCGGTTCACCAAAAACGGGGTGGACACTTCGTAGCTTTTCCGGCACAACCAGTCCACCACAGCCTGTCTGTCCTCAAGCACGTCCTGCTGGCTGTTCCAGTACCTGGCCGTCTTCTCCCCATACGGGGTGTCCCCCACAAAGACCCCCTGTGACGGTTTGGACTTGGCTCCCTGCCAAATGCCCGAAAGCTAGGACAGCAGCTCCCTTCTCCTCTTCTTTCTTCCCTTAGGTTAAAGGAGAAAGAAACTATAAAAATTAAAGAACCCACGATCAAGCTGCTTATATAAAAATATATCTATATTTACGCAAATTACAGTTATATACAGTTAAGATGCTATATACACAGAAAAAGGGGGTCCACCCCCCGCAGGGATAGGGAAAGGGAAAAAGGGGACAAAAGGGAACAAAAGGGACACCGAACAGGTATACTAGATCAAACTATACTAATAACTAACAAA